ATAATTATATTATGTACAAAATTAAGCTTTCATGGTATCAAAGGAAATTGGAGAAGTTATTTCGAGAATGCTAGAGAACATAAATGCGTTTTCAGAAATAAGAAATCAAACTTTGCTTTGTAGTAAAAATCGAGAAAAGGTAGCTTTTAATAAATTACTTTTGTAATAAATAATTTCTAAATATGTAGACACTTAAATTTTTGCTCAAAAAGCTTGAGGCTGGTTGTCTTCTGTAATTAATATAACGTCTGAACATTTCGAAACGTTCTCCATCAGGCAGAAAACCGACACTTTTATATATCAGTATCGAATCTGAACATAAAAAAGAATTGCGGAAATAATTTGCAAACTCATTTAGATTAATTGGAATTTACAATGCGTATTTTCATATATATTACAAATATCTTTGTTAGAATGAAACCGTTTGCCAGAATTCATTTTTATATTACCTTTTTTATCACTTATCTTTGTCTTTAGCCTGACCTTTTTATTAGTATCTCAGAATTTTACAATATTATTTTGTCATTAGTTGTAAAAGTGATTCGAATCAATATTACTCGTTATTAAATAAATAATAAGATAGGTCAACTCTGCTAGCTATCTATCAGATGATAATACTGTAATTAATAGATTATGTTCAAAGCTACCAATTTACAATATTTTATTAAAAATATAAAGTTAAAAGTCTTCTAAATTCTCTTGATGTTTTTAAAAGTTATTAAAAGAAGTAGGTAAACAAGAAGTTCAAAGGTGATGAGAAAACACTAAAAATGAACGAGAAAGAGCCATTCAAGAAATAAAAAGACAAAACCCCGAACTAGCCCAGAGGTTTGAAAAGTCTTGACAAAAAATTAAAAGTGATTTATATCCCGAAAGAAAAGATTAGATGCGCGCACTATAGAACGTCTTCGTAATGTTATACATAGTCAACACTGTCAAAACGAATCACTAATTAAACCCTGAAGAAACCGAAGGACAGTTATAGAAAACTCGCATAGATAAACCAATTTTTTAAACATTAACGGAGTTCTCCATATTTATATCCATTATAAGTCAAATTCGTGATATCAGCTTTCGTTATGTAATCCTTAACCGATGACACGTTTAAAATAAAATTTTAATATATTAAAAATGCATAATATCGATATAATACATGTACTCCGTAAACAGTGTTGAAGAATTAAATTTCAAAATAAAGAACAAATGAGCATTGCATAAATAAAAAAGTTTCGTTCTAATGTAGACAATACCATCAGAATACAGTTGACTCTCTTTATAATAACGATAACGATAAAGATAAAATTATGTGATTGCTGATTCTTCGTGATTATTTTGAATGTACACATATGTATTATAAAAACTACGTAATGGGAACAATGTTAATGGATTCTGGGGTTTGAGGTTGACGTTTATTATTATTAAAGTAGTTAACTTTGAAAATAAAATCTGTAATCATTTACGTATTGATATGAAACATTTCATTTGAATAACTACCAATCAAATAAGTTAGTCGAATTAATTACCTGCATGGTGCAATCTTCTTGGTTTTACGTATCACCAACTGAACCTGCTTGTCGCGTTCGTTAATATTATCAATAAATGATTCCCAGAAGCGGGCGAATCATAATTCCGAAATGCTCGGAACTATTCAAAACAACAATTCGCTAATGATGAGAAATATCAACCGCATCCCATTAAAATGGAAAGTTTAGTAATGCAACATTCGTATATAGTTGACGTAAATTCTGTAATGAATCTGTAGAATTTAACGTACTAAGTGACACATTACTTGCTGACTCATTATTACATGCGGAATGGATGTGGCGTAGAATTATTTTTAATTGTTGTGAGTTTTACTTGGTTAAAATCAGAATCATATCTCATATTTCATAAATTTGACGCAAAAGTTTACTTTTTGATAGATCTGCAAGATTCCTTACTTTTTTGATACATGTCGAAGCACAGTCACGTTTTTTAAGCCTAAGGCTAAAGTGCCATTGTTTTAATACCGATCTCAATATATAGTATTTTAATGCGTACATATATTATCATTTTTTTGTATTGTACAATAATTATTAGTCTAAGTACAAATGCGTTTTATTTTTTCACCATATGTAATTTCTTTGGGCATCTGTACCGTACGTTTTAAGGTAGGACTCCATAAAACAAGAGTTCTATTTATACTGTTTAATGTAAGAAAGAATAGGAAACTATTTTATTCTTTATCTCGTAAAATACAGCACCAATTGTGTTTAACACGGTTTGTTTTGAGAAAAAAATAAACTTTATCTTTTACTCTTTGAACTTTAAATGATAGCACATTTTGAGTGTGCCTGTTCGGAGGTCAGGGTCCTGAATATGTGTATATGAAAATGTTTTTAGGCGTTTATTCTGTACAAAAAGACTGTTCTTTTACTCTTGAAATTTACATTTTGAGTGTTCCCTGCTTAGAAGTCGGGGTCCTAAATATGCGTATATGAAAAACTTTTTAGGCTTTTTATGCTGTACAAAAAGACTATTTACCAATTTATTTGTTGGTTTATTATTCACTCTTTTGTGCATTTCTTATCAAAAATATCATGAATTAAGTCAATTGAGTTCACACGGAAGTGGCTATGTATTTTTTATTAAATACATCTAGTATAGGTCAATAGTCACATATTTTATCTATTAAAAATTATCAACTCCCGTTAAATTGAAGAAAAATATGGTCAGTTTGACTGTATGAAACAAAGAAATACACGTACTACAAAAATTATATTCAAAAATTAGACAACACAAAATTTAATGCTAGTGCTAGTATTACAGAGGGTGTACATATCGATATTACGTAATTCATTTAAATAAATAATAATCCTGCACGAAAATCTAGCGCTAGTAATGTATAATATTACAAAGTTGCAACTACATGTATTAACGTTAAAGTAAATCGAAGGTTTAATTACGGTATATTACAATGTTGTAGTATAATATAGTTCAATCACAACAATTTGTGTGCTGTGTTTCACGATTTATATGTATGAAAGTCGATTTCTGTGCTGTGTTGTGTTAAAAGACTAAAATTTTCCATTTGTAAATCGATTTCTGTTTAATTTGCGTGCATTCTAAGTGAATTCTTACACAAACGCGACATTACGTTCAATGTTGTAATTTGATGCACCGAGGGAAATTTTGTGCGCAAGTTTATACCGTAAATAATTTTTGCTCATGATCTTGTGATCTCAGTCATATAGATAGATTTTTAGCCAATCAAGTGAAATTCATAATTCTTGAATCCCACAATTTTTATCAAGTGAAATCCAAGTATTCTTATTTTCGATATAAATATCAAATTTGCAATATAAAAATCATAGACGGAACGCATCCTACTGCTGGTTCATGGGCTCTGCGCAACCCACCTTCACGCTACGCAAGAGCCTGGAGGAGATGGCGTTGAAGGATCTTCGTGAGACTTTTGTCCTCCTTTTGCAATAATGATCAACAGTAACTTTATCATCACAACGAGAACGAAATGTTTTCTTGGAAGATCATAACAAAAATGAAACGTTTTCTTGGAAGACCATAACAAAAATAAAACGTTTTCTTGGAAGATCATAACGAAAATGAAACGTTTTCTTTGAAGATCATAACAAAATAATTTTTTCTTTGAAGATTGTAACAAATGAATGTTAGATAATTGAAAAAATAAGGTTGGTATCTATTCAGCTAAAAAAAATAATATAATGTTATTTTCGAAAGCTTTGAAATTTTTCACTTTCTAATGCACCAATGGTCTTGGCAAATTTGAAAATTGATTAATTCATTCATTTTATATTGTAATGAAATATCACAATTTCTTTTATCAGATGACGCCTCAGCTTTCTGTTCGTTATCCTAAGAAATACTACAACTATGAAATCGACAGATACAAGTTCGCATTATCTAATGAACAAGTTTGTCATCATTAGTTTCCTCGATGTCAAGCTCAACTTTGTCAGTTGACGCGATCTTATCTGATTGAAATACATGTTGGTTCGAGGGAAGAAGTTAGTGGTGTTGTGAATTTGCGCATTGAACTTTGTAAATGGCCGCTTGGGTTTTGTGTGAATGTTTGCATAGATAATTTATGCATTCAAAAGAAGAGGTAGAAGCTTACACTCGTCTTTTTTATGCTACTTTATTCTCGCTGTAACTTAATTAAACATGGTTCTATCACATCAATGAAGAGATTGCCCATCAAGTTTCATTTATGATGTTTGACACCTGGTAATTTATTGTACGAGACGAAAGAAAGACTTCGAAAATACGATCGATATCCAACCAATCCTGCAACGTTACTTGTTTCAAAAAAGCTTTTTCCACATGGACATCTGGCAATGCGGAAATTGATTACTTTACTCAAATTAATGCATGGAATCGGATATTGGTATTGGAATGATATCCGTGGGATGCGTTTTCAGAACCGTTTTTCGCGCTAAAAGAAAAGAAGGAAGAATCATTGAATGGATGGAATCAAGTGGCGTCGTGATGAAATGAAATATGTAAATCAGAATCTCATAATGAGGTAATTTACACTTATTGATCGATCGATTGATTGATTGATTGGTTGATTGATTGATTGATCACTCTCCTATTCTTGAGGCAAAAAGAGTAAAACGATAGGGGATTATCAAGTTAGCTCTTGTACACTTTATGGTTCATCAAAAATAACACTGGTCAATATCTCCTTGTTCTTGCTTATTTTGAAGCAACCACCTGGTATGAAAAGGTTAATATGATCTATTGGATTATTGGTCATAAAGCAGGAATGATTCATAGATAAAAATGATGCAGTGATATTATTCAATTTAATAAACGTTTACATATCAATTTACAATTGATTCGTTTCTTCATCTGGGGAACGTGCTAAATACTTCCTATAATAATAATAATAATCTTTATTATATTGGAGAGTTAGGCCTTTCAGTTTTTGAATCCGAAGCAGGTGGCATTAATAATGTTAAGTGAGCACATCCTCTTATATGGCACCAGAATCATTGAGTGGTCGTGGTTCATACTCCCAGGCAACGGACGTTTACTATGATTATGTGGGAAATAAGTTCGGAAGAAAACCTTTTTACGATATTGTTCATGATAGTATTACGAATCTGCAAAGGCCATCGTCCAGAAATTACCAAAGACACTCCGCCCTTTTATCAAGAAATGTTGGCACTCTGATCCCACACAACGACCAACTGCCGAACAAATACTCAAGTTGACTAACAAGTGACATATTTGTCCTACACAAGAGATTAATGGTCAAATTAACAAAGCAGAAGAGATTCGTCAATGAAATATAGGAATAAAAAAGAAGCGAAACCGCCACATCCTGGGCTATTTACACAACAAACGGCAAGTTTTATTCGTAATGTAATTTTGGTTCATTTTAGAATTGTCTTCTATGGATCTTGATGACGTCGAAATTCCTGATGTTTAGTATAATAACTTCGCATTAATTAGTACGTTGCTACTTTTATTTATATTGTGGGTTTAAATACGTGTTAATATTTAAAGATGTATTGTAGTGCATCCAGCTTAGTCGCATCAAATACTTTGAATTGCAAAGGATTTTTTATATGAACTTTAAATGTAATAAAAGATATCATTTAATAGTTTTGATAAGTAGTATAGTCTGGTGTAAAACCATTAATAAATTATTTTTTTAAAATAAAGTTTAATTTTGTCTCATTTAATTAAGTCATTAGATATTAGGATCTATTTTAATATATATATTTTAATTATATATATATATATTAATTATATATATTTCATGAAAAAATTTTTAGTAGTAATAACTTTTTTGAATTCTTAGTTTGTGAAATTTACTATATAAAATTTGATTAAAATTAATATAAATGTATATAGTAAATAATTTAATTGTTAAACTTTGAGACTTAATTTCACAATAACTACTGATTCAAATATCTAGCAATATGCTTGCGTAATTAAAAGTTCTAATATTGCACATTGATAAAAAAATGCTTAAAATGTATTTTATTTTATTTTAGAAAAGTATTGCTTCATTATTATTGAATAAAAGTGCAAAAGAATAATAAAAATAATATAAATAGTTAGTTTAGAGTATTCTTTATTTAGTGTAAAAAATTAGAGATTCTGAATGACTTTTATTAGAAGTAATTATTAACTTTATTTTGAGGTACAAATCTTTTTGCACATGACCATATCAAGTAATGTATTTTAACTTAAAGTTTTATATATTTTTTTATTGAGAAGATGCAATTTTAAATAATGCATTTTCTAAAAATTTCATCATTAAAATAAAAAAAAATAAGGTATTTTCTTTTGATTTTTCATAAAAAAGTAAAAGTTTGATATTCTCTCAGAGAAAATGGTCCCCAAGTCGATGCTCTAAATGGTAATAAATAATAAAGAATTGAAGGTGCGCCGAATTGTATTTAAGATCCTCTGAGAATTTGATCTTTCTTTACGAGATAGCGGTAAACTTCTTGATTGAACTTTAGCATTAAACTGTTGAAGGATTTTGTCGAATGGATATACACCTAACGTTAAGCATATATGCGATACAATCATTGAATTCCAATTCTATCGTTTCATCAAGGATGGTCTTGTGTGTGAATTCTAACTTGCGCTATCCACCTCTTCTTTAAAGCCAAGTTTTCTTAGCTCCGACCTCCAAAAATCAACTTAGCAAATAATGTACATGTACGTAGTATGTACTCTTGTATCATTTTTCATTGCATAAGTTGACACGACTTTACACATACGTATAAATCGTTTTTAAATAAAACACTGCCATAATCACTAATAAACTCAAAGATGGCATCTAAAACCTCGAATACTTATGATTGTAGTGAATGTTATTGGTGTCAACATGATTACTACAACTACTGCAAAGCGTGTTCAGTTCACAATATTCATAATTGTTGTAAATATGTTTATTGTCAACGTTGGGGTAACTGCGATGAGTGTTCAGTTCACAATACTTATGATTGTAGTAAGTGTATCAAATGTCAAAAAAACGAGTACTGTGTTGGATGTTCCAAATATCACAAACGCATTTGTAAAGCTAAAAGCGGAAATAAATATCGATATATCGTTATGAGGTGAATTAGAAAATTGGTTTCATACTAAAAAATCTTCAAGAACTTGAAATTGCATTAAAAAAAGAACGAATGTTAATTACACTTCAAATTTATTAGAAAGGATCGCAGCATGAATTTTTGAATACTTATTTGAAATGAGTGCATCAGTATCGAATACCGGAATTGTTTGTCTTTCTCAAATTTTATTTTTTTATGTTATTCAATTGCTTAATGTAGAAATCGACTTACCGTTACACACATATAAATCATCATTATTACATGTACGTATATTGAACTCTCTCTAAATGCAACCACTATACGTATGCGCAACTTTTCCCTAATGCACAATCACACCTTAGTTCCATGATTTGACTTATAAATATTTCTCAGCCCGTTTATAGATTGTTCTCTTCATAAATGCATGTCCGAACCAATCAAATTTCAACATGTATTATTACATGATAAGTAAATTTATTTAAAGTAGTTTTCACAAAACTAATGCTGGGGTTCGATGACATGGAATTCTAGTTCATGTAAGTTCACATGATAAATAGTATAATTGGAAAGATCGATTCTAAATTTTGAATACATGTAAAATAGAGATTATCGATTATGGAATTAGTCAAAATTAGCTACCTGCTTCAAGTTCTCTTTCTGATAAATCTGTGATCACCAGCATGCGACCTGTTCTTATAGAATACCTTGCTTAAGTCACAGCAGGAAAAGAAGATAAAGAATATCCATCGCATTAGCTTAAGAAATGCCGCAGGAGAAACGTGATGTATGAAATCAAATACAACAAGCAGGGGGCATTTTGAGCAGTACCAAATGCAGTGAGTTCTGTTTATTATCCCTTACTTATCGAGATTCGAGTATGGCTCATTCCATGTTAAGAGAAGTGTCCACGTTGGTGAAGAGATTCATACAATTTCGCAATGAGAACAACGGGTATTCACCCTATTATGATCTCCTGTCACGTACTTTTGGCCTTCATCTGTGCCACGTTCGATTATATCTCGTTCATAGCGTCTATCCGCTTGTATACTTCAGAGGAGAATTTATTGCATATGAGGATTGTACGATCTTCTAACATCCTACATACGTACTATCGTCGTCGTTATCGCTATTTTTTCGTATAAGTTGTGCAACGTAGATTTGCATTATTCATTTCCCTACAAATACATGTACATGTACATGTACGTAATAGAGATAATGTTCTTTCAAAATATTATCGTTATCGTTATGTAAACTTGGCGAAAAATTAACGTTAACGTTAATGATTTTCGCTTTCGAAACATAAAATAATGTACGTATACGTATGTGAAACTTCCAAACGATCACCGATTAATGTATCGGGTATACACTTATCAGAAATTAGCTATAGAACAATTACGTGTGTTGAAAAATTTCAAGAAGTTAATGATGAACCAAATGGTGAAAATTCCATTATGCTACGTGTAAGAATTCCTTTTTTCTAATACATGTATATAACGATAAAGTCAATTCGAGAACAAAACACAACCATTAAAATTTATTTTACATATTTGTTTACCCGTTAATTAAATAAGTGTTAAAAATAATCGTAATAACGATAAATAATAACATAGCGATAGAACTAGCACTAGTACATAACGGTAACGGGTAATGGTAATAGTGGTAATAGTGGTAATAGTGATAATAGTTCTATTTTTATCGTTATCGTTATTATGTACAGATAAACGTTATCGATCTAATATAGATAAACTACCTGCATTGTACTGCGTGTACGATATTTTTATATAAATAAGACATGTTTTGCATGTTCAAAATATTCTTTCAATAATTAAAAATGGCTGTCACGTCACTTCCCGTTGATTTGCTTTCACCATTTCTCAAACCTCTTGCCACCGACAAAAAATCCATGTACAACTGCTTGCTAGTAAGTCGTTTGTGGTGCCGAACTATAGTTCCGTATTTGTGGCGTAACCCTTTCCAATTAATCATATACGACCGGCAAAATCGTAGTAAAACTCAAGCTCTACTTAAAACATATTTCATTTGCCTCGAAAACGATAAAAAGTCTTCACTACTTCAAGAATTTAAACTCGACGCTCTAGGTACTCTATCGGATCTCTCGTCGCCAACATTTCAATATCAATGCTATTTGGAGAATTTACCTGACAGTAGATTACTTTCATCGATTGGGTCGTGGTTTACTAAACCTGAAGCATCGGCACAAGATAGATTGGCCCAATCTTTGTGCTTCAAAGCATTATTTGAGATGTTTGTACGAGATGCCAAGAATCTTAAAGTTTTGGAATTATGGGGAATCTTCTGGAACTTGTCAATTGATAATACTGCAATAAGTGAAATTATCCACGCAATTCAGATTCAGCAGACTAAATTAAAACAATTGAAAATATCTTTCAGAAATGTACTCATCAGCAACGAGAAAGTTATTCGCAGTGGAAAACAAATGTCAGGCATCGTTGAATCACAAAAGAAGTTGGAATCGATAATAATCGACCAAGGTGGCGGTAAATGGATGGATATATGCTTAAACGCGTTAACAGCTCAGACAGCTTCTTTAGAAGAGATTACTTTCAAAGAGTGTAGTTTTGCCAGATCTTTTTCATTGCAGAGTGGTTATTTTGAGAAGTTTGTAAATTTGCGTAAAGTTGAGTTTCTTGATTGCGAAGGTTTAAATGATGAATTTTTGACATCTTTGTCTGGTCAAGTAAATATAAATATGGATACGAAAACAATTGTATTTATGCCAAACGACGACATTAAAAGTTATAATGTATTTGATACATTTGATGTTACAAGGCAAAAAAAAATATGTAAAGATTAGCGATAAATAGATTTAATAAAGATTTACGTATGTTTTTTTTTTGATAAGGTAGTAAGAATTTAAAGACTTTACGTTATTTTTTGATAAGAATCTTTCGAAGTGTTTTATCCGAATCAAATAAAATGTGGAGGTAAGGACAATGTTTAAGTGTCGAATTTAATGAGGATTCAGGTAATCAATAATTTAACTAAACGATTTCGGTTTGGACCAATAGACCTTCGGAATAGAATGGTTTATATTTTGCAGTAGGAATTGTATCTTATAAATATCTGGTTTGCTTTCATTTAAATATTTTTTCCTGAAATTTAATTATCCCCAAAATGAGTCGCACTCACATTATTACGCATTCAAAAACAAAACAAAGTTTAATGAAAATTTTCATTAAACTTTGTTTTAAGTGATGATAAGTTTGAAGAAGCTCAAAAAGTTTCAGGTATCGATACGTTTGGAACTATATTGTTAAAAACATCTTTCGCCAAACACTTGTTCAATGTACACATTTTTCGTCATACGTCTTTAACAACAAAACAATTGTAGACTTACAACTAATTAAAGCATTTCTTTTCGTTCTTGATTGTAAAATCATTATATCAACCTCATTTGTTATGACCAGTTTTATGGCTAATGTCATTTTGTTTTCGTGCAATTGCTAATTTCTCATATACACTTTCAGAAATTTTGACATTGACTTCAGATAATGTCAGCAATGTTTTTTTAGCTGATCAATTGCTAAAGTTAAGGCTTGAAGCAGATTCCAAAACACTTCCTTTAACCAATTCGATGTTCATAATAGTCAGTTATTCCTTAACATTAATTTATTTCAGTATACCGATACATATCTGAACTTTTTTTGCTATTATGGGAACTTTGCACTATTTTACTGTAAGACTATTCAATACTGCAACTGGAATCCTATCAAAATCAAATTATCTAACCATTGCTGAGGTATGTCTTGTTTGCATCTGCACGTCATGAAAAAACTACCATTGTATGGAAGGTTAAAAACGACCTTGATGAAGAAAGAGCGACACGATTCTCTGCATTTTTAAATCCTGATTTTAAAAGAAACATATATCTCCAGTTTATCAACAGACATTCTAGCCTACAGATCTTGAAACCACAGTCGCAACAATTACTGCCTCCAAATGATTACGTTTTTTTCAAGAGTTCGAAACTCTGATGAACTGATGTGATATACCTATAAACAAATATCAGCATTAAAGTGTTTTCCAAGTTTGTCCATTATGGCATATAATTAATTACATTGAAATAATGGCGACTAGTATTCCTTATGAGAAAATCTTTAATTTGCAGTAGCTAAATTCGAGATCGGCTAGAAGGAGAAACTTTGTGTGCACCTTTGTGGGTTGACTGAAGACTTGCATTAGCGTTAGTGGTTTTATTTATTTAAAGTGCAAATATTTTAAATTCGAAAATTGAAAGTTTTATTTCCAAGTTAGTAATTTTGCGCAAGTACTACTCTCTTCATTGACATGTATGAACTTTATGAGAATGTGTTTTTTTTTTTAGCAATATTACAGTAATATACTCTAGATTCTATATAAAATGAGGATTACAAAATATCCCGACGACTATTTTTTTGCCCGCTGCTGCAGTGTTTCATATGCCGTATATTCATCAACGTATTTCATTGATATATTGCGTCGCAAATTTCCACTCACTGTATATTTCGTTGCGAATTTCATCAATGTATTGCTTTGTGTCGACTTACTGGTTTATTCGTTATCACCTGGTGTGTTTCTTCACTGCCACCGATTCCTGGATACATTTTTGGACGTTCAATTTGTTATTATACTATCTTCTCGCAATACTCATGATTGTAATAACGTAAATATTTCGATTGTCAAGAAAATAACGATAAGTACTGTTTTGGACGTTAAATTGTCGTTGTATGTAGTAAATGCATTAATTGTGAAGAAAACGAAAATGTACTCGTTGATGCGCTGTTTGGATGTTCAGAATATCACTATCAGCTTTATAAAGATGAATGGTTAGGCTAATTAAAGAATGCTCGGAAATTAAAAGACCTGCTCTTGATCTTGTAAGAATGGATCACTTTTGAAATATTAGCATACAGTAACTCACTTAAGAAATTGAACACGAAAAAAATTGACGAGATACGAATATCTCGCCATTGAAGAATTGTGCGGAATCAAAAGTAAGTGGATTATATTCGTTAATATTACGATGATCGATATTAACAATTTTTTAACGTTCTGCATAAATTGCCCGATTTCGAGGACAATATTTAAAGGAAGGATTCTTTTTTTTTATTGAACTATTATCAAACTAAAAAAAAATACTGACTAATAAACTACAATATTATAGTACCATTTCGTATAACCACCCTTTGGCTTTATAACATCATCTACCCTTTCTAGCATTTAAGAAACCGACCGTTCACAGAAGTCTGCTTCGATGCCATTCCACATAATCTGGAGCTTGCCCACAAATCATCTTTGGGCCAGAAAGTTGCCGCAACCGCCGGTCAACCTCATTCCAAAGATTTTCGATGGGATTCAGGTCAGAGGATTGAGCTGGCTAATCAAGCAAATCTATTTCATTAACAAGGAACCAAACTTGCGCTTTTTTCAACACATGTTTAGGATCATATCTTGCCGGTAAAAGATTTCTTCTTTACTCAGCCCTTTTGCTGACAGTAAACCTAATAGATTCTTGTTTAAAATATCAAGGTAAATGTCAGCATTCATTTTTACATCAATTTTTCTGAGTTGCCCCACTCCTTCAGCATTCCTACATCCCCAAACCCTTATAGCACCACCACCAAACTTCATTATATGGATGATTTGGCGTTGATTTAGTTGCTCTTTAGCCTTCATCCAGCAGTACTTACAGTCATCCGACCCAAAAAGCCGGAACTTGCTTTCATCGGACAAGAGAACCAATCTCCAATCGTCAGCTGCAAAATCTCAGTGTTACTTTGCCCAAGCAGGTTGCCATTTGGGTGTATCTTTTGAGTATCAGCTTTTTGCATTTAATTTTTGAGGATAGACCATTTCTCCAGAATATCTGCCATACGCTCTTTACGGAAATGTCAATTCCAAGGTCAGATTTAAGTTTGATTATGACCTCCACAGCGGTAAAACACTGTTCAGTCAGACAGCATATCTTTCATAGCAGTCGGTTAGAAGACGTGAACGATCAGTTTTTTCTAGATCATCAAAAGTTCCAGTTTCTTTCTTTTTTTTTTGCAAATTCGTAGGACTGATGTAAGACCCGCCTGCTCTGAAGCAGCAACTTCCCGTACGGTACATTCTTTTTCGCGTAATATTTACGAGCATTTTTCTTGAGAGATTTTTCAAATGTGGTTAGAATTATTATTTCGAGTGATTAAAAGTATTTGCAACAATAAAAATTGAAATGAGAGCTTTTATACTTATCTTTGTTATCCTTGATCTCTTGTATAAGTCGGCCATATTACGTGGAACGCTAGAAAAATGTAATAATTATCTGTGTACGTATAAGGGAAATGATAGCGATGCATTAGTTGATGTGCATTATTTTAACGAATATAATCCAAATTCTTCAATGGCGAGATATTCGTATCTCGCCAATTTTTTTCCGTTTCCATTTCTTAAGTGAGCTATTATATGTTGAATATCTTGAGGTTTTGAGATTGTTTCTAAAGCAACCTGAAGAAATAAATTTAAACGATCTGAAAGATACGATGTTGCTATCTCGAAGAAGTCATTATATGATTCAAAGATAATTAAATTAGAGTTTATAAACGAGGTAAAAATGAACCATTTCTAAAGTGCAAGCAGGTTTCCTAATACAAACAAAATTGATTCAGCATGCAAGTATGATTATTTAAAATATTATGGAATAAGTCACAAACGAATTCCACGACGCTACCTATTATAAGTATGAGAAAGTGTCTTTATATCTATTCACGAAGAAAATGATTTAATACGAAATGAATCAAAAATTTAAAAAAAAAATTCACGTGTGTGTAAATCGATTCTTTGTTTAGCTGGTTTATCGTTATTGTCCAATGCCATAAAAAAGTACTTGCGTTTGTATTTGTTGTGTGTAAATAATGAAAAGCTCGTCTTTTAACACGACGACAAGCAAATCAATTTATATTATTAAATAAATCATGTAATTTATTCTTACAGAAGAACCATTTATTCTTTAAACTAGAACTTATATTTATGTACATGAATAAATTCTGTGTTTACGCATTTGATATATTAAAAGAAGAGTATTTTATTATTATACCAAAGGTGCCCCAATAACAATTCTATTTAGCAGGCAATAACAATAATATATAGAATATTAATAAACATAGCAAGTAAACGGCGACAATTTCGCTAGAATCAAGAAAGTAACAAAAATGACATCGCATTTTTTTGTTATACAAGATCATACACATAAGAAGTAAATTAGAAAGAAGAAGCAGTGGTTAAAATACTAACAAATTAAAAATAAATAATTTTTATCCTTTTAATGTGATTCTATAACATATAAATTAATACTTACCAGTTATATCTAATAGAGAGATGATATTTTAAGTATTTATCATAAAGTTGTAGTTGTTTCTGAAAAAGAAACTCGATATATCTTCATGCTTGTTAATTTCATCTAGATCTGCCAAAGAAAAAGGATAATGAATTAAAGAGATTAATGAAAATATAATAAGTAAGTTACCTTCGTTTGGAACATACAAACTGACACTTGTCAACCCTAAACATCCGATATGATTTAACTTTAGAAATAAAAAATACCTGTGTTATTGGAGGTGATATTAATTTGTGGTGCATTTAAGTGGATGTGTTCGTTTTTGTAAAATGCTTTTTTGCAATTTCATCCTCTTGTATTCCTTCCTTTCTAGTTTAAAATTACCTCGCGTGTTTAAGGATATTCTAAAGAACTTAGCACTGAAGATGCAAAGTTGTCGGTTTTCACGCATACAAGGTGTATATCATGACTTCCTTCACGTGTGGAACCTCGTACGGAATCATTCCCAAACTATAAATATCTGCAGCTTTAGTGTGTGGCTTTCCATTTAGTACCTCTGGGAAAGTACAGTACTCCGTAAATTTCTTGATTGAAATTATTTATATCTGCTGGTTTGATAAGTCCAAAATTACTAATATATTTTCGGGGTGAAAGTTACGATATGCAGGTTTCTCTTCGTGTATTTTTTCAACTCGTAAGTATTGTATTAATTTCGCTTCCCAATTCATTTCAAAAGTGCATCTTAGAGCAGTCTGAATTTAATTTTGAAAAACCTAATATTTTTTTAGAAAATAGTAGAGAATAACTCTTACGCTTTAGAAATTGTTCATTACAAAAAATTTCAAGCATGATAGCATTGACAACTGATATTTGGACTTCTGGAAATAATTATAGTTTTTTGGGTGTTACAATTCATTGGATAGATGATAACTGGCAAATGCACACACATTTTGGAATTAATATAGCTGAATCTTAGATGAGCTTATTAATCAAATATAAGCTTATTACAAAAATTCTAGCATTAACTACTAATAATCATTCTGTTATGATTGTATGTGGTCGCAAAATAAGTAATAAATTAAATATAAAATTCAATAATTTTCTTATTATCGATGTGGAGTACACACATACTTAATCTGGCTGTACAACATGGTCTTCAAGTATATGATGAGATAATTGAAAAAGTTCATAATTTTATGACCAATTCAAAGATCTAATTTATTAATAGAGAATTTACAATGAATATTTGAAGCACAGGACAGGATATTCATACTTGGATCTACAAATTGATACGTATTAATATACATTGAAATTCTACTTATCTAATCTTAGAAAAATTTAAAAAAATTAAAGTACAAGCTAATATACTTATTGCATAACATTAAGAATGTATATATAATAGCTGAAAAGTAAATGTAACTATATATATTTAATAAAAATAATAAACACGATTTATATTTTTATTTTTATTTATATATAGAAATTTTTATCAATTTTAACTTCTATGTATTCCAATATATTGGCTCTTTCTTCATCTTTATTTTCAACAATCAGAGATCTTTACATTTGAAACTTTAAAACAACATTTTGGCAACCTTTTATAAACTATGATAACGAACTAGAATGATATCTTGCTTTACCTACAGATGATGAATGCAATCCACTAGAATGATGAAAAATTTACAGAAAGTAATTTCTGATTTTATCAATCATGGTATGTAATTATCTTGCTATTCAGGCAACTAATGTTCCATGCGAACAAGTATTTTTTTATTGCAGAACTCACAATTTCTAAGTTACACAATCAATTAGGTTCTGATACTGCACAAGTATTATTATGTTTAAAAAGTTAGATAGCTGAAAAATTGGCGAAAATAATAGTTAAAAAAGAAATGATAATGGAGAAAAGAATTAATTTATAAATGCAAATTTGAATTAAATACAGTATTTTTTTTTGGAAATGATCATAACTGATAAAGATTGCCCGAGTATATTGAATGTGAAAATTTTAATAATATTGATAGCTAATAGATACGTATATATTAATTAGTATATGGTGCATAACATCTAAAGTCATCAAACGTTTGTATTTTATAAAATGTATAAACTTTTATAAAATGTATAAACTTCTCAACTAAGAAGTAAATACAAAATTTAATCCAAGAACATGCTCAGAAAGTGTCTATTCTATGATATTCACGGATTGAATTTTGTATTTACTTTTCAGTTGAGAAGTTTAAATACAAATGTTTGGTGACTTTAGATGTTATACACCATATAACGAACGACAATAATCAAGATTAATTAATAAATACATAAGTGATAAAAATCATATCACGTGTAATCAACCATAGTTAAACCGAACCGATAACCCTAATCCTTGGATAGGAAATCCAGAATTAAACCACTAGGCGAATAATTAATGCATTGAAATCATTTTTTTATAACATCGGTGTTGTTAATCACTTGTAATTGATAAGAAAATCTTGACGCTTGTAGTAATGATATAAATGATATAAACAAAATTGTGATTTCTCGTTTTTCTTTTCCTCAAATTTATTTGTCGGTTAAATTTCACTTTCTGATTGGTTAGTGCTCGTCGCCAAGGATGACCATAAACTTCTAGGAAAACTGGAATTTCGCCTAGAAGTTCCTATTAATAATTTTACAAAATAAATGTAAATCTTGAAATTGTAATAATAAATTTTTTTAACTTAAAAAATATACTACAAGTGACTCTCGCCATAGTAAAACCTTGTTATAATAAAATCTTGATATAGTAAAGTTCAGCCCAATATAGTCTATAATAAATCCTCTCGTTATAGTAAATTTACTAATAAATAGTAAATTTTTGAAAAAATTTTACTAATAGTCTGGATGTCTTTACTATAACAAGAGTCACTTGTATTGACTTATTGTATTTCAATTGTTATAATTCTCGCTATATTTTCTGCTGATGTGCATGTAACTAATTTCGAAGATTTTTTATGAATTTGTTTTTACAATTGTGAGGCGATGAAATTACACTTCTATTGACTCTCCCCCCCAAAGATGGTCAAGAAACTAATTATGTAGTTTAAGGACATAACTAAAACTAGTTTAGGTTATAGTTATGTTCCTCCAGGATAGTTTAGGGACCCTTCTTTAAACCCCCCATATATCGATATCAGAAAAAAAACACTAACGCTAACGTTAACGTTAAGATATAACATATTGGTTCAATGTTGTCGCTTGGACGTCAATATAGCAATTTGACCAATCAAATTGCTGGATTTATGTACACTGGGGCCGTATCGGTATCGTGTGATTGATTATGGTCACACAGTACATGTAATGTAACACGATAACGCTGTCACGGGTAAACCCGGATTAATTGTTCGCTTTAAAAGTACAGTTCTGCATAAAAAACGCAACTCAATAAATAATATTGGTTAGCATATGTATAAAGTTCGAATGATACGTAGACTTCCGGTATATGAGATCACTATGCTTTTGGCCTAGACCAAAAGTGTTCTATGATTATTTTTAATAATATTTACGTCTTTTAGAATGTTTGATAAAAAAAATGGCAAGGTTTTTTGTGATTTTTTACTACTACGTACGTTTCAAGTTCTTTAAATATAATAAATTAATTTTATTTTTGCTACAGATAATAACTTTACTCCAAACTAGAATACAATTCAAACAACATTCTAAAGAGAAAAGATAGGCACATAAATAATTGTTAGAATTTATCTTTTTTGCCAATCTAATATCAAGAATTTCAATTCGCATTAACTTTGACGTTAATTGAAAGTTTAAATTTCTAATACATGTATATGTACATGTATTACATAAATCTCTGTTCCATGCAGCCGGAAAATACATGTACATGTACATGCTTATATTTAAATTATTTATATTTTAAATTATTTACATTGGGAATATTATTTCCCGAAATGAACTATTAAGAGGATAGAGCAAGCAAAGTTCTGGAATCTTCGCAAAAAAATGTGTGGTTTGAATTTGACTGTTTACTCTAAAAATTTATTGGATTTACTGTATGTCATGCATACAAATCCACAAAAAAATCAATCAATGGCGATAGAAAACATCTTGATTTCGGCAGATATACAATCAATTAATTGAAATTTTAATATGATTGGAGTAAATAAGAAATCTTTAACCGGTCGGTTAACCAGTAACCATGGTATAAATACAGTTAATTGCTATAATTATCCCTTCTTAGTTTACAGAGTTAAGTTTCATAATCCAAAATGCTTATACGAAAAATTTTTCTTTACTACCAAAAGGCAGTTATTCGAAACTTGTTTAATTTAATAAACAAGCATGAATGAAATATTACGCATGAGAAACAGTTTTATTTGATGGATCTGCCAATTATTGAATCAGGGATACAAAAAAATAGGGTAATTGTTTGTTATATTTCGATATAGAAAATCATTACTTGGAATTCGAATTGTTTGTATCGGTATCGGTATGTCACGAATATTAATTTAATATAACGTTACAGTAGATTTATATTAAGTTTTTATAAGAATATATTTTTTCTTCCATTTTAGACTTATATTACACTAATCTCACATTTTTGTAATTTCATTATACATGTAGTTAAGAAATTAAGAAACTATCACCACAAAATTTTATCTGCTTATTTATCAATTAAACAGGAGAATACAGCAAGAAATACAATGCAATCTTGTCAAATAGGAATTTATTCAATCGCGTTATTGCACAAATTAAACAAATGCATACGTCTTAATAATTAACGCTAACCACAGCAATACATAATAACTGTCCAAATAATGCAAGTCCAATTATGTTTTTCCGTGACGGTAGATCTTTTGCTTATTTAATAAACTGAATTACGTACATATTTTGCGCCAAGCAATTAATATGTACATGTACGTAGTTTGTTTTCCCCCGTATCAGACGGTTTTTGGGAAACACGTAATATTTGTTCTTTCTTAGCTTATAGAGACTGCATACCAAGCAATTTAAACATGAATTGGGTAATGACATATAAAATAATTGGTTCGATTCTTAATTTATTTTAAATTCCAAAAATTGACAATAAATAATATACGTAATTCGATGACCCATCACTTTTGATATATCGATATGTAGTATTCTTAATCTGCAATCTATTCTATGACGTTCACAAGTTAATCACTATAGTAGTTAAAAAAGAAATTATCGTTTTTCTTTAAATTCATGCTTGAATTCATAACCTTTTTATATTCGGTCGGTATTCCGTTCAATAGTACATCCAATCAAATATGCAATCTCTAGTTAAAGCTTTTAAGCTATGATGCATAACATCTAAAGTCATCAAACGTTTGTGTTTTATAAAATGTACAAACATCTTTACAAAGAAGTACGTAAATGCAAAATTTAATCCGTGAATATGCTCAGAAAGGGTCTATTCTATCATATTCACGGATTAAATTTTACATTTACGTACTTCTTTGTAAAGAAGTTTATACATTTTGTAAAATACAAACGTTTGATGACTTTAGATGTTATGCACCATACATGTAATAACATGCAGCAGAGCACAAATGATTATTTGTGCACATCTTGTGTGTGACAGAAGATACGCACAAAGGTCCATGCATATCTCTAAGAATACGTACCCTTAAATTTTTTATATTGATTGAAAATTTTTAACAATAGAAAAGTAACAAAAATAACAATTACTGTATTTGACAACTCACGGGGGAACTCGCTTTCCAAAAATCATTGATATTTCATATCCGATTTAGGTTTAAGTCTGTCAGGTTAATGCATGACATTGGTCACACAAACACCATCAGATATTTATAAAAGAAAAACAAAAAAAGCGCACAAACTAGCTATTTTTCTAATGCTGTAATGTCGGGAAATAATCCCTTAAATAAAGCGGACTTACCATTTGGCGATAGAATGACGGAACTTTTTGAAGGAATGACTTTATCAAAAACCGAAACTTCAACCACCATCGATAATAAGAATAACAATTCCACATTTTTCACTTTGTCAACATCCCCTTCCTCTAAATCTCCAAGAAACAAAGAATCCCTCCGCTCTCAACAACCACCTTTAAAATTATGGAATACAAATCCAAGTGTTCAGTTTCTTGGACATAATAACCAAACAAGAATCTTAACGCAATACCCGACGACTTTCTCGTCATCATCGATATGTGACTATTTAGAATTGTCAGAGGAGAAAGACCTACTCGAGAAAATGAGACTTTTATTTATTGAGGCAATTAATCGAAGCGTAAAAGAACAAGTTGAGCCAATTTTCACTCGATTTTTGAATCAAAAAGGACTCGAACCCGAGAAATTCTTTCATTTAATCTCAACCGACCAATTAAAATGGCGTTATGCATGGTTACTAGGATTATTTTACGAATACGGCATTGGAACTCAAATCGATAAAAAGAAAGCATTCGAATCGTATTTAATGACCGCCACGACAAATGACACTTTTGGTCAAGTATCACTCGGTAACTGTTACTATGGAGCAAAAGGTACAGAGAAAAATGAGAATTTGGCGTTTTGTTGGTATCAGAAGACTGCTGACGAGGGATCTGATCGTGGACAATGTAATCTTGGTCTTTGCTATGCACGAGGAATTGGGACAGAGATAAACATGAATAAAGCGCTCTATTGGTATCTAAAAGCTGCAGAAAATGGAAACACACGAGCTCAAGCTACAATTGGATACTATTATGAACATGGGATAGGAACAATTCAAGATATGGTTAAAGCATTCGAATGGTATGAGAAATCGGCGATTGGTGGATGGCCAACCGGTCAATATAATTGCGCTTTTTGTTTATATGAAGGAAGAGGTACTGAAAAAAATGATTTGAAAGCATTCGAGTTATGTGCAAATGCGGCAGAAGGCGGATTCGTCGAAGCTTACTATTTGCTAGGGTATTTCTATGAGCAAAGTGTTGGAACTATTAAAAATCATAATAAAGCTTTTTATTGGTACCTAAAAGCTTCTGAGAATGGCCATAATGTAGGGCAACATGTAATTGCTGAATTTTATCGTTATGGATTTGGAACTGTAAAAGATATTCATGAATCATTGTACTGGTATCAAAGAACAAAAAAATACGGATATTTGGGTGGGTAAGCAGGAGAAAAAATTAGCTTTTCACAAACAACATTCTTTTTTTTTTATTAATAATGCATGCGTGTGCATCTAAGATTTCATACTTTCACCAATAAGCTATCCTTCTCTTTATATTATATGCTCTATTAACAAATTCGAATATTTGTTAATAATTGTATAGTTTGTATATAAATTATTTACAAATTTATGATTTTTTGTTACTAATCAAAATTTTGCCGAATAATATAGATACTGTAGATATATATATCGATATATATATATATATATATATATCTATATATGTGAATAAGATATTTTGTTTAAAGAACATTTTTTTGTACCACAAAATAAATAGAATTTGCATCTGGTAAGCATATTAGTATTTATGAATTTTTTTGACCCCTACTAATTTTCTGTTGTACTAGTCAATGCTGCGATCGTGTTCAAATCGAAATTAGGCGAGTAAAATTCCACTAAAACTTTCGAAAATTCCATTGTGTTTCACTGTCACAAGGCGTCTGTCTCTAAAAATCCAACAAATGTACAGGATATGGGCATGTAGATACATATAGAGATTTCTGGTGAATAAGTTCCCCAGCCAACAGAAAAAGAAAAAATTCATCCAGTCAACTAACTCTGTATATAAATAAAGAACAGAACTGCCAGTTTGTTATCAACCATTATTACATGTATATCACTTGTACCGTTCGTTTGTTTATTAAATAGTCTATAATTACATAATTATATATTGATATTACAAATTTATATGTAATTACATGTTACATGTATAAGGTTGGTATTTGGATGAATTCTTATTCAATTCTGAATCACTGTCCAGGTTTTAATTGTCTAATCTTTAATCGGAGAACCCAAATGAGTAATATTAGCACAAGCAATACGTGTTCCTGTTATTAGTGGAAAAAAAATTAACCTTCTGATTATGTAATACCAGACAACGACAAAAAAAACTCACCCTGCTGATTATGAATAACTATAGAACGATGCAAGAACGAAGTTGTTTCACCTTTCCAATTCAAATATTCATCGAAATATAACTGAGGTGTGACAAGTCCGTTTTTGGCACCAATAAGAGGTCCCCATTTACCACTTAAATCGCCTTCTTCGCAATTTGCGAGATCCGCTGGTTTACATACATAGGTCCCATCACCGTGATTTGCAAATTTTGGATCGAAATGAGGCCCTGTTCCAGTACAATTTCCATCAGACGGAACCGGTTTTTGATGTATATGATATGGATATTTTACTGTAGGGTCGGTGAGACCTGATACTACAACAACATTCACCAAAGTTGTTGGCTTTTGAGTGGCCGATCCGGAAAACCCACTAAAAGTAATTTGTGCAACAATGTTGTTTTGAGTTCCAACGAACTCAACTATGGCTTGTTGATTTGTATCGATGGTGGAGAGGTCAAATGGGATATCTCCTATCGAATAAGCATGAGCCAAATTGACCAATAAGCTTCCAAAATATGCCAACAGTAGTAATACCAAATGCGACATTTTATTACGCAGAATTTTGTTATTAGCAAAAAGTTACGAGAAAAAGTACCATTTCTTTTAAATAGTCCATTGTCTTTTATACTGAAAAATTATTTTTAGAATCGGCGATACATTCAATGTAACCATTGAAGAACCTGTGATCTGATACACAATCATGTTGCATTACAAATTCTAGATTTTTATTGTTACAACCGTTATTTGTACAACTTGAACTACTCCACTGTTTTTAATTTCTACGCAACTGACGATATAATGTCCCAAAAAATTTTGTATACGTGCGCAAGATAGTTAACCTCCCGCATTAATAATATTCGTTATGCATTTGCTTGTTTAAAGTGAAACTATTTTATCATTTTTTTTATTATGCTAAATAAATGTAAAAAGCCAACTTTTAAATACAAATTTTCAAGCATCTTGGTAGTTAAAAATTGTTGTTTCTCTTAAAGATAAAGTCAGCACCTATTGGAACGGTAAAATTGCCGTTATGCATGTGAATTACACTGTAATTTACTAAGAGTCAAATTTGTTAATATTGGTTTATGCAATAGCGATAGTACGAAACTACTGTAACAGTGACAATAAAAATTAGCCGGAAAATACCCGGTTTCTTTTTCTCATTTGGATAGTTTTTTTTCCTCATTTAGATCATATATCTTTTTTTGGATCTATTTACATATTACGTATTAAAAATGAACATTTTACTTATTTATATCGATATGTCACCACAACATTATTGTTATCGCTATTTATATTTATATTTTTAATTTTTCAAAGGGTTTACATAAATAAACAAAGATCAGGAAGATTTAACCAAAAATGCTGTACACAGCCGTCCCCTATATAGTCCTTCCCTATAGTCACACCTCCTTTATAAGTACATTACGCTTGGAACCACTTACTACACGTAATAAACTTATAAAAAAAACTTTCCTTAGTCACATCATATAACGTTTTATAATCACACTTGTTTTTTTGGTCCCGAGGGGTGTGACTATAGGGAGGAACGACTGTATATTGGTTTTTTGTCTGTACCCAATACATGTAGTACGAACTATGGTAAATATCTACCACTTACGTATTAACTTATTGTTATATTAATAGGTAAATATTTTACTTGCATCTGCAAATTTTAAAATAATAAGACACAGAGAATTATTGAAAAATACATTGGCGTACTTCCCTAAAGAAAATTAAACCTTAAACATCCGCCGTACAATTTCAATTTTTTTTATTAATAGCCTTTGAGGTTAAATTAAGGTTCCAAAGGGGATATGCAGCACTGAACGGTATTATAAACGAGGAAATAACCTTAAATCAATTAAAAATTCGTGTATTTCCCGACGAAATTGTTTTTCCAGCGAAATTTTTGTACAGGAAGATAGTAGTTAGCTTTAGCGGCAGAATTCTATCAAGATTACTTATTATCGTAACGATAATATCTAAACGACTCAACAACTCTACTTGAGTATCTTCCAATGCACCGAATTTATCGATTTAATCTCCTTCACACTGGTTGCATAATTACTTCCGCATTTTGTCTTTGTTCTTTGCAAAATCGATGACATTCACTTCCATTGACAATATGAAGAGTAATACCGTTTTTATTACCATTGAATTCAATCGACAGGGAATAAGAAAGAGTTGCAGATATTTCGCAACAATAATAAAACTCGCGAGACACACCACAGATCGATTCTTCGAATGAAGTCATTTTAGAAAAACGTAGCTATTGAATGTAAAATTATCAAATAGAAACAAAGTATTAGACAAGGTCATTTTTGAAAGAAATTCAATTGTTTAGGCTGTACAAGTAGCAACCGACATTTTAATATGTCGAATTTGTCGGTTTTTACTTGTACGGCCCCTTTAAAACAATTGTTTAAATATTTTGAAAAATAAATGCCGATTACATTTTTTATCTCTGAAAATTATCTCTTTTTTGTGTGCATTTAATGAAACTTGAGCGTGATTATTTTGGAAAATTTTTACGCGCAATTATGCTTCTGAAGATAGTAATTATAAATAAATCTTTTATTTCTTCTATTTGTATTTATAATAAAATATGCAAACAATGTATCAGTTGCTTTCAAAAACTTACAAATTTTTTGCGAGTCCATTAAGTATGTCAATTTTATTTTTAAACAATAATATATGTTAGTATCTGGTACATTTAATAGTCTGGACTATAGTTTATACAGTAATATAAGGATAAACGTGTTTTTTCTTAGTTTTACAAGAAAGTTAAATATTTTTAGAAATAACATACTGATCAGACAAAACTCTTTTCAAATAAATAAAACAAAAAAAAAGCTTAACTTAATATGTAAAAATGAAAATAAAGAATCTAATTGATAATGAATATATTTAATTAAAGAATAACAAGAATTGATTTAATTTAATCAAAGATTTTATCAAGACTTCAGTAAACAAAATCTAAGTCATTAATACATTAACAAAAGAGTTATAAAATAAAAATTACTCATACAAATAAACAATTTAACAAATTATAAATTTTTATATGGTTACCAAAAAGTTATTATTATGAAAAGATTAATTATTATAGTTTCAATATAAATTTTATAATAATTAAAAATACAAATTTTTATATAATATATTATTAAGTGAATTTCATTATAATATATTTTAATATATAAATATTTTTTATAATTTTATTAGAAATAATAAACAATTTTTTAGTAATTTTTAGAAAATAAAAATATATAATATAATTTCTTTATAATATCTTTATATAGTTATAAATTCTATATAATTATATGTTTTTAGTTTATAACTTATTATAATTCATATAAAAATTAATCTATAATTATAATCTTTTTAAAATTATAATTTTTCATATTTTGAAAGTATAATTATATAGAAATTTGACTTAGAACTCTTAACAAACTAAGTCATAAGCTATTTGAATCAAAATTTATCTGAAATTTAATATATATCTAAATTTTTATTAATTAAATTATATAAACTGATTATTATAATAATAAGAATTTAGTTTTTTTTAGATATAACTTTACAAAAATTTATAAAATTATATATATAATAATAATTAAAAATAATACAACATCAAAATTTATTAATTAAATATAGTAAAATACAGATTTTTTCTTTATATAAAAGTTTTCAATTTTACTAATAAATATTTTTTATTTTTATATTAAAATAAAAATAATATCACATATTTTAACATATATTTTCATATAAAGTTAATTATTTTTTTATAATTAAACATATAAAAAATAATTAATTTTATTTGCAATTAGAATAACTTTATATAATATTATTTTTATTTTAATATAAAAATAAAAAATATTTATTAGTAAAATTGAAAACTTATATATAAAGAAAAAATCTGTATTTTACTATATTTAATTAATAAATTTTGATATTATTGTATTATTTCTAATTATTACTATATATATATAATTTTTATAATAATATATTATTTTTTAAATTTTTATATATTTTAATTTAAATTTTTTAATATATATTTATAGATATATATTTTTAATTAGTTTTAAAAGAATATATTTAGAAAGATTTATCTATATTATTAATAAATTTTAAATTTGCTTTTTTATTTAAGAAATTAATAAAATTTTTAATATAAAATATAATTTATTTTTGAAAATATTAATTATTTTATAATTTTAATTTATTAATTAATATATTTTTTAAAGAAATTAATAATTTTTATAATTTTAATTTATATATTTTAAAGAAAATTAATAATTTTATTTATTGATTTATTATATTTTTTAATATAATTCTAATAATTTATATTATTAATATTAAAAAAATATTAACAAGTAATTAACAAATATAATTAAAAAATATTATTATTAATAAAAAATAATAATTAATAATTAAATTTAGATCTTTGTAATATATATAGTATAATTTGAAAAATGTATAAAAAATTCAAAAAATTATAAAACTAAATATTTTTATATATAAAAATCTATTAAATACTCTAATATTATTAAACTTGATTTTATTTAATATTAATTAATAAAATAATTAAAATAAATTTTTAAAGCATGTTATTTCTTGAAATTTTGGCTATATTATATATAATATAATATAAAAAATATTTTAATTATAAAATTATTAATAAATATTAAGTACAAAATTCAGTTATCAAAAAATTATAAAAAATATTTAATTATACAAAACTTTTAATGAATAATTATATATATTTAAAGAATAATTAAAAAATATTTAAAAACTATAATTAATATATTGAATTAGTAAATAATATATTAACAAGTATTACAATATAGTACAATATATTATTAGTAAAATAAGTAAATTCAATTCATTAATTAATTTATTTTTTTTTTACTTGAATATTTTTGCTATTTTTCTTTATATTTTTTTATTATTTTATTTTTATTACAAAATTTTTAAACAAGTTAACAATCAATTGTTAATTGAAAATTAATTATTATTAATTAGAAAAAATTAATGTTAATTAATTTTTTATCAATTGATTACCAATTAAAATTAATTATTATTAATTTTTAATTAGTAATTAATTAATATTAATAATAAATACTAATTAATAATAAATAATAAATACTAATTAATAATAAATACTAATTAATAATAAATACTAATTAATTTTAATTTTAATTACTATTTATTAATTATATTTATTAAATAATAATAATGATTAATTATTATTATTTCTTAGTTAATAATTAATTAATATTAATAATAAATATTAATTAATACTAATTTGATTAATAATTATTAATTATATTTATTAATCAATTATTATTATTATTGGTAACTAACTTATATATATAATATAATATATAAATTATATAGACAAATTCTAATTGATAAATTATATATTTATAAATATAAATATAAATTATATATTATAAATATAAATATAAATATAAATATAAATATAAATATAAATATAAATATAAATATAAATATAAATATAAATATAA